ACCAGTTACAAAAACACACTGGTAATAATAATAATAAAAACGAGCATACGGCAAATCCGCAAAGTCCTCGAATTATTTATGTATCTAAATGGAATGAGAATAATGGTAAATTATCTACTAACCCGAATAAGATTTCTATTTCTGGATTATCTAATTCAAGTACATTGGGAGCATATTCATCACACAGTTATGAATCGGATCAAACTCAAATGAATCAATTTAAACATCCTAATCATATTTTTTCTCCAGTTCGTAAAACAAATTTGGTTACTATTCATTACAGTGATAACGATGACTGAAAATATAAACTTCGAATTGTATTCCTACTACTATTAATTCTTTTTTGAATACTTACTGAAGTACTGTTTATTCTTTTAGAGTTAATCTGGATTATCTTTCATTATAATCTATTGTTTATCCTACCAGAATTTCTTATTACCTTAAGTACTCAGACTACGCTAGTCTACAGATAAAAATCATTATTTTGCAAGCAAACAAAAAATGTATGAATTCTTTATTCCTATTCGATGATTGGGTGAATATATATAGTTGAACCGTTTGCTGATTGGTCAATTTGACATTGCTAACCATAAACCAATAACTATCAACTAGTCTTTTAATTCTTCGAGAACCAATCGAATTTTACCATCAAACGAAAAGTTAAGTGGATGAAAAAGATAACTGGAAATCAGATCTATAGAATAACAACATTGTTATTGTTTTCTTCTATTCACTAATTTTTCTAGTGTCTTTATAAACATAGTTTTATGTAATGAATAAGTAACTGATTAACTTCAGGCTTATTAACCACCAATAAAGAAGACATTGCTTTATATATTTCTAAAATGAGAATGACTTTTTATAGCAGTATATATATATATATATATATATATATATATATATATATATATATATATATATATATATATATATATATATATGCTGTAGCGAACATTTGATTAATATATTTCTGTTAAGAAGTAAGTTGGTGTATGTAAACGTTATTATTTAAAATAACTGCAACTTATAATATAATAGATATTTTAATAACAATAAGTTGAATGAATACTTTGTTAAGTAACACCAATAGGTCAACAAGTTACAAATGCAGTCATATGTTGATTTTCGTTAACTGATCACCTCCCTCACTCAGTTACACTTTAGAACAAGTTACTTCTAAGTGTACTACTTTTAGTAAAATTTACCTCTCCCTTTCATTTACTCCATCGGATATATTTATTTGAAGTGAATAAAATATAATGATGACTGAATAGTCAGTCTATTCATATTTTTGATTTCTAATAAAATTAAAATCGTTCAGATTTTCTTTATTGATTGAAAGTTTTAAGTACAGTTTGCAATGTGGAGACAAATGACTAGTCAACTCAGATAATCGCATATTTTATGTTAACGGATTATTGTTTAATATTGAGAAATTTGAAGGTTGATTGATACTGCACAACCATTTCACTAAAATAGAGCTGAATAAGAGTCATAATACCTTCTTGTTCTTAGACGAAGTGTTAGGTCTTGATATGTCAGTCAAGCCAAGCCGTTAATGGTCAATAAGCAAAGATAGACATACCTGATTACACTAAATATAAGAGACTACCTTTTATGTAAAACTGATTCCCACTTGTAGACCGCTTTCAGTTTGTATCATGATAAGCTGTCGTTTTGGATCCTGATTGGTTGCTGGATAATTGATTCAAGTTTATCACGGAAACAAGTATCGTGTCCTATTGAGTCCACTAATTTAATGTTTAGTTCTACCGATATAACGGTCAGTTACTAAGTCATATATTGAAAATCTAGTATTTCATGCAGCATCACAACCCAACGATAAAAGTCTTAGCATTCCGTTTTCACACTTAAACATAACAGAAAAGTCTCATCATTACTAAGGAGAGAATAACCTATTCCATAAGTTTTAATGACTTGATTGTTGTTACGTCCTATAGCCCATCAATTATCACGTAAAAAATCGCCAATCAGAAAGTTGACTTTTATGACTCTGTCCTTATGCTAAATCAGTAATGGGTTAACCCTGAGTCCTTATTGGTTCTCACCTAACCCTACCCATTGAGTTCAGAACAAATTTCAGCCTTTACTGTATGAGTCATGCATTTCAGACATGCGCAGTTAATATATAAGCAAAGCAGACATCATCACGCCATAAAACAGAAAATAACAATTATACAAGACTAAACCCAAAGTGGCTGTGAATGTAGGGTATTGTAACTAATAAATCGAGAATAAGTTAACAATGATAAATTGGATCGCAATAACTAATAAGTCAAACGAAAGGAATATATACAGATACCCGATAAATACCCTCGGTTATCTATATAGTACGGTGCTGTTAACATTAACTTATTGCATCATAAATCTTAATTCAGTCATATATATTAATAATTACTCTTTCAAGTGATTCTGATTGATCTTTTTATCAATGGTTAAGATCTTAAATAGTAAGTACTTGAACAAAATTTGAAATTACAAAAAACAATTAACTACAGGTATTGTATATTTCATCTGATGAACATTTCATGCTTATCACAATGACCATGGAAATTATTATTTGTCTATAAGTTTTGTGATATGCTTTCGATTAATGCAAGATAAACTTGATTTTAAACTTTACCTCAGTTTTATTGTTGAATAATGTCTGACAAATCATGGATCATTAGTTCAAGGTCGTTCATTTATAGTGAAGATATCTCGGAAAAATATACATTTGAAGATCGGATTCGTATTAATGCATATAGTTTAATGTAAACTAGGAAAACAGCCCATGAGCATATACTGGAGGGAAAACAATGGAAACACAAACTTTCTGCATTTTCCAAATGTTCATTCATGTAATATACAAGATAACAAAGAAACTATTTAGTGAAATCTTTCGCCTACACAGAATTCCGATTGGAAGTTAAGCCATACTACTAAACAACATAAATAGTACTTGACTATTTTTAACTGAATTTAGCTGATAGGACTTTCTCAAAATTCAACTCTTATACCATTTATCAGAATGGGGATTTGTGGAGATTGTAGTAATTTTAAGCTAGACCAGAAGCCGTGACCAGTGGAGGTCAATCCATGTCAGGTAGAGACAGGTATCTATCGCAGACAATGGATGAAGAGTAGCACAATATCATGGATCGATTGGAGTTAGACATTAACACTGTTGGATGCCGAAGGAGTTCCATCCTTGGACGAAGAGGTCGTCTAGGTTTTTACTGGTGGTTTAGCTTAGTTGAATTCATGAATTCAAGTATCACGACTTATACTCTTCTTGGAGTTGTTAGACCCTCAAGATATTTACTGAGTAACTTGTCGCCTTTAATTTACGAGTATGAGTTCTTGTTTCTTCGTCCCAAATTTTTCAACGGAGTCAACTTTCATTGTCACCTCAATAAAATATGCTATTTTCTCATTGACTAGAGGATCTCATAGTGTATTGACTTTTCACCCTTTTACTCAGGTTGTTGTAAATGTATTTATACGTGGGTGTTATTTGGCAGAATTTATCTTGTTTGAAGCCTACAAACAAATCTTCCTTATGAGATCGCCTTTTGTAGTAGGCTTGGTTATCAAAAAATGTTATAGTATCTAAGTATAGAAGCGAAGTTAACAGTTAATCCTGAGACCTAAATTCCTATCAACTTTATCTGCATACCTAATGAAAATAAAAAATAACAGCCAAAATAGCATTTTAATTTCCTACAAATTTCATGCAAGAAATGTGTTAGTCGTTGATAATTAGGCCAACAGTGCTAGATTTAATCATTTGTCTTCAATGATACTACATGGAGAGCACAACTTAATGGATAATACGAAAAAGACTATCGAACCACTAAAAAACTCATAAAAATTGTGGATGCATGTTTTGATGATGAATCAAAATCAATATTGAAGGACTGTTAACTGCTATCGACGTTTAATTTGTTGATTGAAGGCGAGACTAATTTATGGACGACCTTCGAACAAACCTCAAGTGACCTTGGGAAATATTAGCCAATCAGCAAACAGCCAGTATAGAGTAAAAATATATTATACAAAACCAATGAAATAAAGTGGATACACTTCTTATACGTGGTTCAAAAACTTGTCAAGGTTAGAAAGAGGTTCAGAGGTTCTAAAATCGCAATGCATGCAGTAGAAGAAATCATCCATACGGCTACAGAATAGTCGGCTTCTGGAGCCATGATGAAGTCTCATAAACTCTTCCAGCCTCGGCCACATAGTTTCAATATTGATTATGTGCACTCCGGTTGTTGAGTACAGAAAATGCCACTTGTAGATAACGACACGATGTACATAACCGTATATACTGTAGTACCTGGATGCAGCCAGTGTTACTGGTGCTTTTATTATCCAGTTAGCGATAATTGTCATAATTTTCCTTAGTTAGGAATTATATATGGGGTTTTCATCACGAACTGACAGAAAATATAAACTAAGCGTGGGACTAACATTCATAGCAGTTTTCATATAGATTTGAGGAAACAAGAGACAAACAATATAATTTTATTTCACTTTAGATGTATAAAATTGGACTGTTTATAAAATCCAGACTAAAAACTTATGGATTTCCAGATTGGTTTTCTTTCAACTGATGTACAGACCCGATTGACATAGAGACGTTAATATGTTATCGAGTGAAACAAACATTTTCTCTCGCACCAGCGGTTAATAGTACAGCCGTTAAGTTGAAATTAAATTTACACTCTCAGTTACTCCATGTTATATGATATCTACAGAGTCTACTATTGAGTAAAAGCACTGTAAACACACTTGTTGTACAAGTGTTTAGTAATTCTACAATAAATACTAATCGTTTTATGAGAAAGTATTTACACAAATAACTGACAGTTAGTGGATATTTGACGCAAGTTAAGTAAACTATCTAGTAAGCTGATGATGGCTTCTCAAATAAATCACTGAGCTTTAATACAAAACTGTGGAAGTTCATAGGAGTAAAGAGAACAATGCTGATGTCAATAAAAGATGTTATATATATATAAAGCACAATATGAACACTGTACATATACACATAAGTAGAATGGATGTAAATTAACTAATGTTACGAATAGTTATAATAACAGGAGAGCAGGAGAATTATATTCAGATCCTTTAAATAATCCTTATTTTAAGAGAAAGACAGGAAATAAATCCCAATGACATAACTGCACACACACATACAAAACGGGGGATAGAATTGCAAAAAGGTGAAGATGACATTGAAGCTGACATAAGAATGATGAACAATATACAATGACATCTTTATACTGCAATTTAATTATTTCATAGGTAAGGGAGATAGAAAAAAATTGCTGTCCTGAATAAGTGTTGTTTTACAGGAGTGGCCTGATAGGTTAATGTTTATGATTTGAATGCCAACAGAATATGTTGTGAAAAAATGAGGCGTGATGATTGCATTTCCCCAGGATGAACACAATGATACATGAATTCGAAGCAATGAAGAAAAAATATGGATAAATAATCAGCCATCAGTCAACTTAAAAGAACTAAGATAAATGAAAAATTAATTATTTGGTTATTTATAAAATTTCGTAATCAGTAAAATTCCTTGTAGTGATGAAAATGAGGGAGTACTTTCATTGAGCCGTATAAAATAACTATCTAAATCAAAAGACAAGGTACTTGTAAATTATATATAAGATCTATTAATTAATAGAAGTTAGGAAATCACCATAACAGATGACTTTCTAGTTGTCAGGATGCTCATACCCAGTTTGATATTGGAAAACAAAGTAATCAAACAACTTACTTCAAGAATTCACTATTGCACATTGATGCTAGTGATTGGGAAAATATTTGGTAGAGTTGAATGATACACACTGTCTAACAATAAACAGTTTCCCTGTCCATTAAAAGAACATATCATAGGAGTATGGCTGGTTTACTGCTGTCTAAGGGATCACTAAGGCGATATTATACAAGGAAGAAATGAACGATGTAGTGACTTAACTGAATTTTCCATGCATAGTACGCGTTTCTGCTCAATAGGTTATGAATTTATAGTGATTTAAATGGTTGATTCATATTACATATATCTAAGTAGTGACTAGCATTAAGTCGATGAGACAGAAACGTGTAGGTCAGCGAATGAATTGATTTTACCCATACTTAGTAACCTGAACAATGACCTAGAATGTAACTAGTAGCTGAAAATGCAACTTGAAACTGCTCTGTATAGTTGTATAACCACACTGTTTAGTTCATAGTCTTGCATAATTAACTACTTCATATCCTTTACTAATCCAATTTAAATTACATTTTTATCGACTTTTCTCATCATGGTATGCTACGAAATTCTTGCAGTACAAATTGACTTATTAATATATTTAAAGCTATCTTACTGTTGTGCTAAACAAACAACGAAATTGCATCACCGGTATTCTTCTATATGAGGTTTTAATTTAAAGTTTTATATTGGATATTGTGTATATCTGATAGTTGAATAAATGGATAAACGATTACAGCAAATATTATATTAATATAAACAATGGGAATAAACGTAAAGGTCAATTTTATGGAAATCAAAATGATTTAATAAAAAGACTGAACATGAATGTCAAGATCACTAAGTGATTTTCCACTTCTGATTGTTGAAACAGTCAGTGTGACAGGTACAAGTATTTCTCGGTTGCTATTTAAACGTGCACGAGTAAACTGTCAATTTTTATGAGAATTCATGAGAAAAAAGAACAGAGTTATATAGCATATTATAGATACAGTAACTGGATTTAAATCAACTAAAGAAAACTTAAACTGTAGTTCATTTGACCCTAGTATTTAAGTAGACGGACTTCACTACTTAGAAGTTTACAGATAACTAGAGTTAGAGCTACCCAAATTAAAGTGGATAAAATAAAGTTAAGACATGCGATCCATCGACTGGAAGTCTGTTGTTCAAGCTATACTAAACTACAGCTCCATTATAAGAAGAAAACAACATTTGTACATCCAACAGTTCGGGAATTCTATGGATGATGGACATATGATTATAGTTGATATTACATGAAACTAAATTTTTGATGTCAGTGGCTGCACAATACCAAAAGAGCTAAGAATTTCTCCAAATTGTTGGTGATTAAGTCTAACCTAAAAGATTTACATAGAGTCAAGATTTACCAATAAGTTTTCCATTGGTGCTTCCAAAGTGGAAAGTTGACTGCTTTTCCGATTATTTTATTGTGGACTATATTTTTGTGTCGATAAACGCTTCAATAATAGTTTCTATGAGATTTTCATAGACCCATACCGATTACACCTAGATCGGAGCTTACATACTTGTTTAGGACAAATTAATTTTAAAAAGATCGCTAACGAAGTAACTAGTACGCAAAATATAGTGCATATATATATATATATATATATATATATATATATATAAGCGACATGGAGCGTAGAGATTATATTAGAGATTGGCACTTCTCTCTGTACCGAACATCAACCGATCGCGTTGCTGTTGTCCATTATTGTTTTTTTCTTTTGTGGTTTACATGAGTTGAGTTGTCACTATCATTGTCTGCATTCCCGTTGTTAGGATGAGATCGTTTGCCATTGGATTGATTTTCGAGTTTAGAAGATGCTTCACTGTGGGAACTAAAATTATAATATACAAGGTATGAGACATTTTGAGTACAAAACAATCAAGAATTTAATATTTTAATAATTACTTGAGAGATAATAGACCATAAATTACTGTTTAAATATTAGGCACAGGGCACAAAAATTACAAGACCACAAGCCGGAAGATGATCATATGATGTGATAGAATAGAACGTTGATATCATTATCAAGCTTGTTAATGACTTAATAGAAATTGATCTGTTCAAAAAGTCAACAAACGCAGTATCAATTTAACGCTAAACACAAACCATATGTGAATCTTAATCAAACAAACTAACTTCAGTACCTTCACCTAACATGAAATTAAAAAAGCCATTTACTGATTATTCCACGAAAATAAAAATTTGTACGAATGCACCATTAGTAAACTAATACCATGAAATTACACACTACAATCACAGAACGCATTGTTTTTACATACAAGAAAATTTAAAAACACTAACAGAATATTGAAGCATATCTTAATATCATGAAAAAGATAACTCAAGCACTACATTATGTAAAATAAAAGGGTTCATACAAAATCAGTACTATTTGCGCAAAAAATTCTAACAAATAAGAAAGATATCATAAAGAACCGAATAAATAAATAATATAATACACATAGTGATTAACAGCTATTTAATATATACCAATGGGCGTGGAAAGACATCAGTATGAATTTAACCGGAAATATATGTAAACCACAAACCGAAGAAACAATAAACAGACACTTCTAGGAAAGTTCTACTCTGCCTTCTCGTAGCGGGTGTGTTGTTTACGAAGTTGAGAAGACGAAAAATGAATGTCCGGCGCTTTAACCAGCTTGGTGAATATGGAGGATCTACCTAGGGGAGTTGGAAAACCCTAATTCCAAACCAATGGTGCACATGGGCTCCACGATCCTGAAGGAACAAATGGAGTATGAGCCAACTGTTGGTCACCGGCTACCATGGGACTGCATCTCCTGACGTTGCCCCAATGCTTTGTGGATCAGACCTTTGGGTCGAAGGCTCCGGGAGTGGCTCCCTGCTTCAATCTGGGTACCCGGGCAGTATCACAACCCACACACAAATCCATTGACTTGTGTGGCGCATATGTATTCGGTGCTCCTTTGTACCAATATTTATTTGTTCAAATAAAATAAAAATAATAAATTTTAAACATTGGCTTTGGCGGCTTGGACATAAGCTACGAATGTTGTCCCAGTGAATTCCACCTCGTGCATTATTTGCTGACGCAGGGACTGGTTGGAAAAGGTGAAGAGGTAGTCAGTATACGAAATGATACAGAACTGCTTCTCTCATAATTTTTTTAAACTTTCATTTACGTTTATGCATCTATTGATTTTGTTTTAGATTGTGTTTATTTTCTTTCCTATATCGCTTCATAATCTCATTTCCTTATTGCATGGCACATAATTATCTTGGTGCCCCCTTGTACCAATATTTATGTATCTCAGTCAGTGAGTCACAACGTAGGACCAGGCACATATATGCATCAGTCCAAGTTGCCACACCTCATTAGCACAACAAAATGAACACCAAATTCATAGAAGTAGTTACTTCAATGGTAGTAATATGTAGAAGAAAGATTGTGAATAAGCATATAATACAGGAAGAAAGAATTAGTTCGTAGAAACAAAGGTATAAAGTATTTTAATCTCACGGTTTAGGGGGAGATAAAGAGTGTATGCACCTATGCCATTGTGACCGATTCTGAGCCATGTCACCCACAGTCTCCAACCATCGGTTGATAGTCACGTGGACCCCAACCAAGTAATCTGCATCTACCAACATGGCTCAGATCAGAAGTTAGTGACTTCAACAACTGATGCCACGTTTTGGTTTGGCCGCCCATAACTTTCTTCCAACCATTCCCAACACTAGTCAGCATTGCGCGTCGCGGTAATCGGTGTTCAGGCATACGTAACACGTGGCCCAACCATCTCAGTCGATGAAGATTCACAACCTCATCAACTGATTTATCACCATCATTCCTTAATACCTTTGGTCTAACCTCACTATTACTTACCCGGTGATCCCAACAGATGCGTGAAATATTTCTAGGACATCTGTGATCAAATACGAGTATCTTCTATTCTTAATGGCCATGTTTCGCAGCCGTAAAGTAGAACAGAACGAACTGCCGAGAAGTATACTGGTCCCTTAATTGGTAGACGGATATCTCGCCTTCGCCATAGGTGATGTAAGTTGGCAAAAGCCAAACGAGCTTTTCGAATCCGTGCACAGATTTCGTCGGATACCAACCTATTAGGGCTGATCATACTCCCGAGATAAGAGAAGTTGTCAACGCGTTCGACTACTTCACTCCCTATATTTAGTTCAGGTGTTGAGGCAGTCCAGTCCTGAAGAAACAACTTGCATTTAGAGGAGGAGAAACACATCCCAAACATCCTGGCATTGTTGCTCAGTGCTACCAATAAACTGCATTTTATCAGCGTCTTTACCAAACAGGACTATGTCTGTGTATTCTAAGTCGATAAGTGACCTCCTGGGAAGATTAATTCTGGAAAATTCAACACTAGGTCTATAATGAAATTGAACAAAAATGGAGATAATGGACAGCCTGGTGGGACACCACTTGAGGTTACGAAATCCAATGACAGTTTGCCATAAGCTCTGACTCAACTAGTGTTCGAGTAAAGAGCATTTACCATATAGGTTTTGACGCTACAATCTGAATAGTATAGCTTACTCAACCCTTTAGCGCAACCGCACAGGTTCCTAGCACCCTGGTGTATATAAATAAAATAGTGCTTTTTACTTTTAGTGATAGTTTAATCGATTATTACTCTTGTAAGGACACTGAACACCTTGGGATTGCAAATATATTTTCAACCTCACTGAATTCATTACTAAAATCAGTCATAGCTACTGAGATGGCTTTGGTAACCTGCTTTTCGGTTGCTTCCGTTAATACTTACGTGAGTTGTTTAATAACCGTTAACTAGGTCACTAAAACCCTGTGGTTTTTTCTACTTGGTTATTAACATCTAAAACTATCTTATGAAAACTATATATAAGATACCACCAAATAGCCTTTGGAAAATGTCCGAAATTCTTCGATTCATACATAGTAAAAATACCAATGAATATAATGATAGAAACTTAATTGGCCAAAATATATGAACCTGAATATATAAATCGACTTCCATAAATATAAAATATTTAAAATTCAAAATACCTTGATGATGAGTCAGAGTGTGATGAATGTGAGGTCTGGCTAGAAGATGAGGAAGAATCAGAGTCTGAATCTGAGGAAGATGAATGGCTATGACTTTGTGACTTGTTTTTTGCAGCTTCTTGTGAAGATGCAGGTTTTCGTTGGTTTGATAACTCATCATCCGAATCGTTGTTTTCTGCCCCCCAAATATCATACTTTGAGAGATCAGCATCATCACCAGAATCTTCATCTTCACTATCATCACCTTTATTGTTGCCATTTTCGTCCTCATCATCTTTATCATGAACTCGTGCAACAGAATTGTTACCCGAATTGGACGAGTCATGGTTGCTAGGTTGTTCACATTGATTTTTTCGAAAACTTTTCTTTTTACGACCGAATTCATCAAACTCATCATCTGAGTCTCTGCGTTCTCTGTATTCTACTACTTCATCACGCTCCATAAACCCTCCGCCATAACCTGTTCTTTCGCCTTGTATATCGACCTTCGATCCATTGCACACGTTGCAAGTACTTCGACGTGCCCAGTTGATATTTCCACATCTATACAGAATGTTTAAGAAACAAACTGAGAATAAACAATGATGTAAAAAAGTCATCATTTGCCTAATGTTTAAAACACTGAATTAAAGATGATTTGTAAAATCCTACACTCCGAATTTCGGACGAGTAAGGATTAGAACGCTGTCAAAATATTTAGAGAAAAAGATTCGAGAGAAACTAGTCCGGCTGATTAAACTGCTGATGCGTAAAGTATACCAAAATGATTATATGAGTACTTAGAATGAGAAGCATATTTAAAGAGGAAAAGGATAAAGTAGGAAGCTATAGAGCAAATTACGCTTTTTAGACCAATATGTACAAGTTATACGGCATGTAAGTATAAGGTATTTCACATACTAAGTCTTTATTGGTTGAGTGAGGTAAAGGCAGGACTGGAAACTAGTCTTCAGAAAGTATCCAACGTTAGTGTGGTGGGGCCATAATTTGTGGACGACCTTTGAGGAACGATGAAGTGACCTCAGGGCAACTCATCTACTCACCAATGTCAAAAAGTGTAAATTAATGAGGAATTAGGATTCAGAGTTAGAATTTAAGGTTATTAATCAAAGTAAAGTTTTTCACTACAAACTGACATCAGTTATTATTTTGTTTAAACACATAGACATTTGTACAAGGAGGCATCAAATAGATATGTACCACATAGATCATTCGATTTGTGTGAGGGCTGCGATACTACCCGGGTGCCCAAACCGAGGCAGATGGTTTTCTTAGGGGTTCACACCCGAAGCCTTCGACCTAAATGTCTAATCCACAAAGCAGTGGGGCAACGTCAGGAGATGCAGTCCCATGGTAGCCGGTGACCAACGGTTGGTTCATACGCCATTTATTCCTTCAAGATCGTGGAGTCCATGTGCACCATTGGTTTGAAATTAGGGTATGTTTCCCTTAATTTCATTGGGTTGTCCATAAATTATGGTTTCGCTGTTAATACTAAGCCTGACTGATGTTACATTAGGAGTTGGATGTACGTGCAAGATTAATTTACATGATGAACTTCATCCGAGATCTCGTTTTGAGCAGCAGAATGTTCGCTTCAAACATAAGACCGTTAGGCATGCGAACGAACCAATCAGGCTTTACAAAGTACGTGTGGGATTCTTGCTCAAAAATCATAGTTATAGTGTATTATAACTGGATTCGTGACACAAATCCTGAGTCATAACCTCAGTTCCTGACTTTATCTTGAGTTTAATTCTTGCAAAGTCACTCTCGGGATAGCATATGCTTGTTTTTATACTTTGGTACCAACCATAAAAATAAATAACTGAAATTCGTGTCCACCAGGAAGTGTAGTAAGAGTTGAACACATTGCAGAATGGAAGCGCATTACGGAATGTCCTTAACAATCTTGCTGTGGAGAAGACGTTACACTAAATTACTCAAGATAAAGTAACGTTTAATAGTGAGTAGCCACTAGGGTGACACTGAACTATAGCACGTGGCTGCACTCGAAATCATTAAAGATTTTCACCGCGCACTTACGTCTTACAAATCCAATCATCTGGACTGAAAAGACCTTTGCTTTTTTCAGCTAGCTGTTTCCCGACCTCTAAACCAGCATTACCTGAGGCCAAAAATTTCCTAGGCTTGTCACAACGGTTGCACTTGTCCCTTTTAGCAAAATTCACATTTTTACATCTGAAAGCTTATTTGCGAAGATTGGCAATCTTACTTTGGATCACTACAAACCCAATCTTCTTTTGATGAGCGAGACATAGATGTGCAACGTTAAAACTGTAATCCCGCGGTTAACTATTCGTATACTTAAACACCATTAAGTGTAGTAAACCCTATATTTTCTAGTTATTTTTTAAAATTAAGGCTACCACGTCCTTGAGTGAATATGAGAAATATAGAAGATCTTCAGAATAAACAGTAGTTACATGTGTTTTTACTGAATTAAAAATTTAATCAAAACTGTATGCCACGACGATTCGGTGGGAACATATTGTCCGATAAATTACCTTTTTACCATGCTTTGGTCTCATCTGTTAAACATATAGTATAAACCCTTGTCGAGTCCAGAAAAGTGTCTGGTTATCTAAAGTATGTTCTATGAATTCTTGATTACAGACGGTTTGAGCAATTACCCAGTCCACATTAGCGAAAACTTACTTGCCTAGTATCTTTTTCCAAAAGATCTTGCAAATTGAGAAGAATGTGATTGCCAATAATTGCGAGGGATAAGTAGCACGGCGTACCCACCGGTGATCTGGTGCAGATGCGTGACTGGGCGCTCCAGCTAAGGTGTGTCCGTAAAACTAATGAGGTCGACGATACTGTGGAAGACTTACGGAACTATTTATCTTTGGGATTTGTTTTCTGATGCAGCTCACTCATTCTAGTGGTCTAGTGATAACCCTAGGACGTGGTCAGACGGAATTTTAAAACCAACGGCCTTGCCGTTGGTTAACACTTTTGCTTGCTATGTTCATCAGCATTTTGTAAGCTTTACCCGACAAAAGGGGCTATATGGTACAATGTGACAGCAAAAAATGTACAATGAAAATTTCAATTCATTGTATATCCCGTCAGTTTTTCATAGATTGCATGAATCTGGCAAAGTAAAAAATGAAAGTATATGTGCATGTTGAGATACAATTGTATGTGCTCAATCATTCGGAACTTTCGATAATGGAATGCATCATAATTTTAAAGCTAATGCCGTTCGGCTGCATGGAAAGAAAATCAAGAATAATGTAGTTTCCTTCTAAATATTCGGCTTTTAGACAATGCTGACGTTATCGTTAGTTTTAGTTTCATCAATGATATTTTATTTAGGTATCCTATGAAGGACTTGAGATTTCGCGAGATCATCGTGATGAATCGTGGCGCACGAAAACATGTGTACTATTATTATTATTATTCACAAACATCTTATGGGTTCATAAGTGTTGTGAAGGAACCATTTCGGGTTTCTTCAAAAATGCATTAATATACAAGTTTCAATAATGTTAGTATTATATTTTCTATAATTGAAAAAAGTGAGCAGTAATAAAATAATAATAATAAATCAGGTTTTGTGTGTAATTGAGAAGAATATTGAATTGAGTTTAACGAAGGAAAGAACGAAAATGAGGGAATAGAAATAAAAGAGACAGATATGCAAATAGTTTCATAAGCGTGTTTATGAACACAGAACAAGAATAAACGACTATGTATGTATCGTAAAATTAGTAACAAAAATAAAATAGAAAATAATTAAGGAAAAAATTTATTATTGCAGCAAGATACGACGCTAGAATAAATGTTTGTGCATTCATAGTTTGGAGTGACGCTATGAAAGTTTCAAGTCAAAAGGATAACGAGATGTCAATATGTATGAGTCATATATGCATAGTAAAGTTAAAACGAGTCGGAGAAGTTCATTTAAGTGTAACACAAGTTGTCTTAATTAGAGACTTCGTTATCTTAAGAATAATATTTATTTAGATAGAAAAAAGAGAGAAAAGAAATAAACACCTAGTGAAAGGGTTCAACCATGATAATAATAGTAATTGTGTAATGAATATCGACCTCTAAAGTAAACCAACAAGTTAGAAAAATGGAATGAAAAAACCCTTTAGTGCACTCGAATTTATACATGTAGATTTATGCAATAGTATATAGAGTGAAACCGGATATTAATATAAACATTTGTGCAATGATAATTAAGAATGATGTTATGAAAGTCACGATTAATTGCAAAAGATAATCAAATATAAATTTCTATGTGTTATATATATATATATATGTTGAAGATAAAATGAATCGAAGAAGTTAATTTATTTAAGTGTACCGTGAAATAATTTGTTTTTAGTTATAGACTTTGGATATTTAGGAATAATATATGTTCGGAAGGATAAGAAGAAATGAAAAGAATATCTTGTGTCGATGGACCAATAATGATATTAATAACAGTAATAATTATAAATACGGACATAAGCAGACTTCATATATTAAGATGAACAGAAAGAAAACAAAGTAAAATAGACGTTAAAAGTTCCAAAGATTGCATTTCGCTTTTCAGTCAATTAGATGGATGACGGACCTTGTTTGTATAAATCATTATCAAATACATTGATATTCAATAGGTGACACAATCCACTTTCGGAAAGAAAATCATCAAGGATACTTCTGAACCGGGTTGTAGTTTCACTGCAACGGAGGTTCACTGTCAATCTGATCCACATGGTTGAGTAGCGAATAACGAAGAAATTATGGCGTAAGTTTGTGTGGTTTCTTGGAATCGCTAGAGTATTTTCCTTATTGCGTAAATTGTGGGAGTATGAAGGGGTGGATACCGAAGAGTAGGAAATACCGTTAATAAGCCGGTAGATAAAGACAAGGTTTAATTTGATACGTCTGATCCAGAGAGGTTCTAATTTGAGTTGTTGACATCTTTAGTGATAGTCTTTGTTGTTGGAATACCCCAGAACAGCTTTGGTGAACCTTCTTTGAACACCTTCAATTTTAATCAGGTCATTATGCTTGCAATTGCTGTAAACTAAAATACCATATTCAAGAATGGGTAAGATACATTTTCTGTATAATAATAATCGCGATTCGATATTATTGAAGTTTATCATTATGAATCCGATGAGATTTCTAGCTTCGGATACTTGAGATACAATGTGCTCAGAAAAGTTCAGACTGTTGCTATATCTTAAACCCAAGTTACGAACAGTGTTGAGGGGTTTCAGTGTATGTTTGTGTATAGTCAGATTTAAGTTAAAGCAGCGGACAATGTGAATAAAGCCACTTTTGTCAACATTAAGTGGCAAATTCCACGAAACAGTCCATTCCTATAACTTGTTTATTTCTTCTTGGATTACGGCTGAAATATAGCTTTCTTTGGTGGGAGAAGAGGATGAATAAACTACTTTTAGGTCATCGGCAAAAAGGAAAGGTTTACCATACTGAAAGAGGGAACACACGTCATTGATAAAAAGGATAAACAGTAATGAACTAATCACACTTCCTTGTATAACCCCACTGGTTACATTCACAGGTTGCGAATAGCAAGATCCAAAGAGAACGATTTGGCTACGTTCTTCTAAAAAAGATTTGAGCCAACATAAAAGGGGGTTCTGTATGCCAAACAAAGAGAGTTTTAGAAGTTTCTGTGAGACACTGTCGAAAGCCTTGTTAAAATTGAAGTAAAGAATTATCACTGATAGACCAAAATCTCTTTTCTAGGTAATTTGATCAAAAAATTCCAGGTGCGATGTGAAACATGAGCGTTTAGTCAAATACCCGTGTTGGGATGTGCTAATCAGACTAGCTGAAAGTAAAAATGATAATAGCTGTTTGTGGATGATATTTTCCATGGTTCTTGAGAGCACGGATGTTAAATTAATTGGTCTATAGTTAACAATATCACTACGTGATCCTGTTTTGTATCTAGGGGTGATAAGAGACGTTTTCCATACAAATGGATAGGTCCCATATTCCATAGATAGGTTGAAAAGTTTTGACCGAAAAAGTGGGAATTCTCTACTCCCATATTTCACAAATGATGAAGGGATCCCATCAGGTCCACTATCATAAGACTTTTTCTGGGTAGCTATGGCCTGCTTGATGTTGTAGGGTGTAAAACCAATTTTCGATAGGTGTCTGGATATCAGCATTGAAAATGTAATGATAGAGCTTTCAGTTCCAGTTTTGTGGCATTGCGAGAAGTGCTTGTTGAATTGTTTACAAATAATATTGGGGTCGTCAACAATACTTCCGTCAACTATGAAAATTTTAGTAGTGCCAAGGGAATTAGATTTCACACGGGATTTAAAAAGACGGAGCATTGATAATTCTGGGCTTTTATTACCTAGGTCTTTATTTCCTATATTCTGTAGTGGTCCCATTCCACTACTGTATTATTTATTTGCTCATTGTAATTTAGACACTTGATTCACCATGTAATTTTCTGTGTGAGTCTGATTGAGCACATGTCAATTTTTAATCTGTTCTTCCATCGATTGTAATACACAGACAATCAATAATTTATCCAGACTTGATTAGCACTCATATATATATGTAAATGGATTTTTGAACACTCATTCATCCACTCACACACACACTTGTGTTTTCCCTGCGTGCTTGCTTGCTGTATGCTTGCGGATTTTGCCAAGCTTTAACAATAAACTATCTCTATAACTGATGTTTGGGCCTTTGAATAATCTCGAGTAGATCGATAATTCTACTAGGAGATTTAGCCTGCATTAAATACACAGTTAACGAGATACTATATATTGGAGGAACTTTGCCTCAACAAACTTGGTGAGCCACAACAATTCACAAAATACTTGCGTTTGGATGAAGCATTATGCTCATAGTAGCGGCGTTTTAATTTCCTTAGCTTTCTTTCAAAAGTATTCTGGCTCTTATTAGCAGGCTGGACGAAAATATCAGCTGACTGTGGTCGAGTGGAAACAGGTTTAACTGAACCTGTGGCATTTGTAAGCCTGCTCATGTAAGAGTTTAGATCCATATTCACTGAAGAACATGAGATTACAGGTCCTAGTAGTCAGAGTAACCTTCTGTGAATGAGTTGTGCTGCAGTGTATCCAAAGTCAGCTTTTACTGCGCTGGGAACACCGAAAAAACTGGCGGAAGAGGATTGGTCCACAGTGAAAAGTTTGCAGCTGGAAGTGAAGCTTTCAGCTATCAGTGAAATCGTCCCACCAACCTGTTACCCTATGGGTGGTGTGCGGTAGTTCAGAATCACGTGATTCTTGGCAGTGCAGTAAGACAACTGAAAAGTCCAGATGTGGACTGGCGCCCAAGGCCTGTAGTGATAATTAAAGGACAACTGGAGTTCTCTATCCATCATTTGA